GGTTAGAAAGTGGGACGTGTAAAAATATTTGGCTCGTTTCATTAACAAAATTTGTGCATCCAAAGGTGGAATGTCACGAGCCATCAACACGTTTTCGTCGGACAAAAATTCGTCCCGCATCTTTTGATAACTCCCCACGGTATAATAACCCGCACATTTTGAAAAATCGGAGGCTTTCAGGTAAACGACTCCTTGGATGATATAAAAGGAAAGATCAACATATTTATATTTGAAAGGAATACACGTAGTGAGCTGGGGATGCCTCCTCATGATCCACTTGGACAAAAATACGACTTTGGGGCTCTCCCCTTTTATTTATAGAGAGAAAGAGAGTGTGACCTTCCCTTCCCTCCTCCTCCTCTCTCCCTGCTTCCTCTATCTCTGGACGTCCTTGGATTGGAAAGGTTGACTTTGAAAAAAAAAAAAAGAAGGTCATGGTTGGATAATTTTTTGTTTATTAAATTATTACTTTCACTTCCTCATTCCCACACACATTCATCTTTTTAAGAAAAGAAAAAGAGGTCATGGAGATAAGATTTCTTGGAAAGAAGAGAGAGAGAAACAAAAAAAAAAAAAAAAAATAAAACGGACGTCATAGAGCCTCTATGTGTGTCTGTGTGTGTCTATATAGATATATAAAAAGACGAGAGTACTGGGCGAGATCATTTCTTTTCCATTGGGAGCCATGTCGCTATTAGACGTTTTTTCCAACTCAACGGATTTCGAACGGGGAGGATTTGAAGACGCTAAAGCAAATCTCCAACTTGAAAATTTTTTTGGCGTGTCATTGTGCGACATTTATTCCGCATTTACCACCTCATCAAGCGATCGTTTCTTTCAACCAAGATGTCGAATCCTCCAACCTGCTCGTTCAGAATATATACAGAAATTTATTCGAATCGCAACAAACGAAAGAGGAATCTCCCTTCTCTTGGAATCGGATGGATCGAGCTTTGAGACGGCCCATTCAAACAGACCGGCGATATACAGATCCGCGCACGAGTTTTCGGTGGAAGAATATTTTTCTCACGAAACGATATTTTACGTTTGGAGTGAGAACGACGGCTGAGGACGAAGTTCATATTGTTCAAACCACAGCCGCTCCTCTCGCCTATTACGAATCATCGTCCCCCAATCTGAAGGAAAGAAGTTTTAAAGTCAGCGACAGGATGAAATATAAGAAATATATTCTAAGACCTTTTCAAAACTATGTCGTTCCCCCGAAAACGCAATATCTCATCGTCACAACCCAGAAGAGTCTCTTTCTCGTCGATCGGTGCTCGTACTCGCTTTGGAAACAATTGAAAGAGGAGATTTCTTTCCAATCGCCGATGATGTTTCAAGAAAAAGAAGAAGAAAAAACCCTCCGCCACCTTTACCCATCCCTTCCTTAGATGATAAGAGGAGCTGGACCAAACCGTCGTCATGGCCCGAAACAAAATCGACCCGGCAACGGAATGAAATTGAAGTCATCACAATTGAAGATGAGGAGGAAGAAAAAAAATTACCTCTTAAAAAACGGTCGACTTACCGGAACCTACCTGGCGTGCAAGATCCGCTTCAGAATCCAGAAGCTTCTTCTTCTTCTTCTTCTTCCCCGACTTGTTCAAACAGGCAACCTCTTTCGGACTCCTCACAGACAGAACCTCTTCCAGTATCCTCTTCTTCTTCTTCTTCTCTCTCCAACCTGTCCCGACATCGTAGAGGTAGAATGTCAGACGGGTCCACAAGCTTCAAAAAGTCCCGACATCGTAGAGGTAGAATGTCAGCCGGGTCCACAAGTTCCAACAGGTCCAGAAATCATGGAGGCAGAATCACAGCCGGGTTCACAAGTTCCAACGGGTCCAGAAATCATGGAGGTAGAATTTCAGCCGGGTAAAAAAACAAGTTCCAACGGGTCCAGAAATCATGGAGGTAGAATCGCAGCGCAGCGGGTCCAGACATCCTAGATCCCTCCACTCATCCCAAAGAGACTCCAAGTGTTTCAAGACAGCCTTGTGAGGATCCAGCCCTTCCCGTATGGAATGATTATATGGACTTACAAAATTTGGTGCAACAGGAAGGAGAAGAAAATAATCATACGGATGGGTGGGTCAAAGACTGTTTAGATCATTTAACCTCGAATGAAATTGAACTGTTATGGAATTGCATTTCTGAAATCACATCGGAAATGGGATAAAAACCAAAACAAAAAAAAAAACAATTTTTTTAATAACAAATGGGAGGAGGGTCATGATGTCAATTAAAAAAAAATATTATATAGAGTCCAATCTTGGTGGTTCACTTCAGTTTTCCAGCATGAGGTGATCCACGTTTCCCGAAATATGGATCCCATTCCAAGAGAGATTGTGTAGAGCCTTCACTTCAGTTCTTTTTTTTTCTACCAAGAGGAGAGGGTCCCCAAAGGGCTACCCATGTCCAAAGAGAGAAAGTGTAGAGCGTTCATTTCAGTTTTTTTTTCCAAGTTTAGGGGAGGGAGGTCTCAAAATGACACCCCCCCATTTTCAAAGAGAGATGGTGTAGAGCGTTCATTTCTGTTTTTTTCCAAAGTTAGGGAGTTTTCAAATGGCTACCCATTTCAGAGAAAGAGAGAGAGAGAGAGGTGTTGTAGAGCGTTCATTTCAGTTTTCCAACATTAGAAGGTCCCAAAATACCTTCTGAATTCAAAGAGAGATCGTGTAGAGCGTTCATTTCCAGTTCTCCAAGATCAGAAGAAGAGGGTCCGCTTTTCCCAAAATGGCTTTCCGCATTCAGAGACAGCGAAGTGCAGACTTCAGTTTTTCTCCCTCCCCAAGAATAGAGGGTCCCAAAATGGCTTCCCATTTCAAAGAGAGAGGGAGAGGCGTTCATTTCCATTCTCCAAGATAGGGTCGTCTGCTTTTTCCCAAAATGGCTTCCCAATTCAAAAAGAGAGAGAGAGAGAGAGAGTAAAAGAAAGGTGTGTGTAGAGCGGTCATGTTCATTCTCCAAGATAGGGTCGTCAGCTTTTTCTCAAAATGGCATCTCCCCATTCAAAAAGAGATCGTAACCAATTTTTTCCAGTTTTTTCCAAGATGGGGGGAGAAGAAAACCTAGGATGGAATAACACGACACACAGAGAGAAAGAGAAAAAAAAACGCCATCTTGTCATTTTCTGATAGGGTACCGGTGCTCGAATACTTTTGTGACCGACTGTACCAAAAATTAGTATTATCACAGTAACTGCAAGATGGCTTACATTTCTAAAACTCAGTTAACACATTTCATGCAGAAAGAAAATATTATCCAGTTTCATACTTAAATCAAGGTCACTGAAATGTGGTAAAAGCAATCTGCTTAAGAAAACAGATGCCTCTGTAGAGGACTTTCTATGGAAAACTGGCTTTCATTCCCATTATACATGGGCAAAACCAATGTCGTGTAATATAATAACCTATTAGTACAATAAATACATTTAATTTCTTTGCATTTATTTATGTCATGCTGCTTTTCGTGTAATTTAGTATGATAACCTTATAAGTTTATTTAATTCTGCTCATGGTCTACGGAAGGTAAGTCACCTGTTATGAGAATATCAAGTTATTAATATTTATGTGAAAGTCTGCAATAACTTTTCATATCATAAGAGATTTACGAATGTGTATATAACTTACATGTGTAGTTATTATGCAAGATCTATAGAAAGTATCCAAAATTACCATGACATTAATCACACTGTACGAACAGGCAAGTCATTATACATTAGGAGAAAATTAACTAATATTTTGGGGGATGAAATACTATTTTACACATGGGAACTGTTTAAACAGCTGAGAAAAATTCATGCTTTTTCCCCTACAGTTACAGAATATATATATACATTGTTTCATAAGAATAAAAAGTAAAGTTAAATTTAAATAATTCTCATGCGCCATTGCTGCAAAGAATTAAATTTGAATTTAACAAATATTCTCTCTTCATATAAAGTTAATTTAAATTATGAAATTTTAATTGCATACATATCAAAGATTAATTATTGCTGCGAATTAATTTACTATATCATTGAAATTCTGAGAGCATATGTAAATTAAATGCACGTATCTAAAACCATGAAAAAATATATAATATTCCAAAAAACTAATCCCTTATATATACATATATATATATCTCAAAGACAGGCATATGCATAATTTCTGTTAGAGAAACAGTTTCTCCGAGATTACGTTTTAGAGTAATTAAAACAATAAATTAATGGTGATATTATTACTGCATTCCAAAATTCGCACTAATTAACGATTTCGATCATTACTACGAAAAAAAACGGGATGAAAAAGAAAGAATCCTGATACAATAACATTAAAATTGTGTGTTTACGTATAAAAAAATATATAATATTCTCAAATAGGTGATTTAAGCATAGTCTTTGATTCGGAAACATTTCCAGAAGTATTTCAGTTTTCATAATCTAAAGTAAAAACAAACCTGCTTTTGCAGAGAATATCCATTGGCAGTTGCCTTCAGAAAAGGTTTCAATTCATTGAAGCAAACCGATTTAATCTGAATCAACTGATGAATTCACGCTCCGACATTTCAAAAGCATTACGACTGTCTCTTAAATGCCAAGGAATTTGATCAGCACTTTTCCGATATCTTAAACATCTGAGCAAAATCACTTCAGCCATCTTGTTTACAGTCGCTGTTAAAAGTTTGCGCAGGTCAGGAGTAGCCGCAAAATTCCTCTATGGTAGTGACGTATTTTCAGTAGGCGTGTCCGAAAAGCGTTGCACTTGAATCCGATTTTGCAATGCAAGTGCGATTACCATGACAAGCGTTGCACTTGAATTCGCCCCTTGATATTTTAATTTTTAATGTAATTCTCACTTTTTTATTCAAAAATTAGGATAAATATAATATTTGATAGCTACTCTTAGTAATAAACATACGACTTTGGCCTTGAATTCCCTTATCAAAGGGATACAGGAAAGAAGGGAGAAAGATACAGGAAAAGTTTGGTAATTTCGTAAGATATAGATAAAAACTTCAACTTCATCTATCAGTATGGTTGCACTAGGCTTTAATTGGTAAACTGATTTTGATTTTTAAGGAATTTAAAAAGATGGCAGGAAATGAGGGAATGGACACCTTAATTCCTATAGTCAATAAACTACATGATGCGTTCACAAAGCTTGGAGTTAATTTATCTATAGATTTGCCACAAATTGCTGTAGTTGGAGGACAAAGCGCTGGAAAAAGTAGTGTTTTGGAAAATTTTGTTGGCAGGTGAGTCATGCGTGCAAATTGAATTTATGTTGAAATTACATTTGTGTCTGTGATAGATATATGCAGTGAACTTATATATATTGCTCATGTAGTGTGGCTCCGCACATACGTTGAAACTTGAAAGCTAATGTACAAATTATCTGTTCAGCTGCAAAATAAAAACATGTACTTCCGTTATTGTTATATTTTGAAAATGATTTGTAAATTTTAGAATTTTCTTTAAATTTTTAATTTATTTGTATTTTAAATATTATTCCACATATATCTTGTCTTTAACAAAGCTTGTCTGTCTTTTAAATGAATTGATTTCGCTCAACTAAAACACTTTAAACATCAAATGGAATCAAAATTTGAGTTCAGATATTTTGTAAAAATCAGGATATTTTAAAGAATTAGCACTGAAATTTATTGGCTTTCAAAAGCATGTATATTTGTGATGAGAAAAGCAAGAGTAGAGAATTCATAACAAAAACTTCTGTGTTTTAGAGTGGGAGCACAAAGTGGGTACCTTTTTTGTTAAAGTAGCCATCACATAAACTTTTGACAGTATTTAAAATTCGCTGATGAGGCGGTTAAGTTTGCCTGTTTTGGTCACTAAGCATGGTGGCTACATAGGCTAAAGTGCAGAATCGCCCACTTATTTGTTTGGCGCTTTTTACAAAAGTGAAAAGAATTGGATTTTTGCCAATTTTTTTTTTTACTTTTTTAAAGAAAATAGGTCGATGTGTACATGGATAAAGTCAAGAGTGTGCGCAATGCTATTTTTGTGCGATTCTGGCATGTTTTTTTAAGTGAAAATAGGTCGACATGTACATGAATACCGTGTATGTACAATTCTTAAAAACGCGCCAAGCAGTGGACGATTCTGCACTTTCACCGCTTCGTAAACGATGAAGTACCAACTAAAGTAGTAGACCATTAGTATTTTGACCTAGAGCTTGACTCCTGGCAATAGAGTAGATGCTAAGATGGTTTTCAAGTTTTCTGTTTGCTCTGAAATGGTGACTAAGATGTGATTTAAATGGAAACCACTTTGTCATAGAAAGTTACCTACAAGACGTCCTTTTGCAGTCAAGTAGCTTTTTTTTTTCCTTTGTCATAGTTAAGTAACTAGTCTGTTCATTTAGAATATTTTACTCATTTACTAATGTTTGCTTAGTTATTCCATAATGTTATAATTATTTTTTATTATTTCTGATTTATTTTTATTTTTTCGTAGAGATTTTCTACCTCGTGGATCTGGTATTGTCACCCGTAGACCACTAATCCTGCAATTAATCAATTCTCCTCATGGTTTGTTATTTATTTTATTTTATTTTTTTGTAAAAGTATTTTGTAGTTTTTATTTAGTAAACTTTCAAATGAGAATGAAATGTCATTTTTTTACTTCATTATTAGCAATTTTTTATATCATTAATCATTCTTTATTAGCATTTTTTTAATATCTTCATATCGGCAATTTTTATATCCTGAAGGTTATCAAATTTTTCTAATTCTAAAATGAGTCTTAATGTAATAAGTAAAATTTATTGATATTTCTGCATTTAAATGGCACCAAAACAGCAATCCTGCTCAAGAGTTTTCTTGTAATAAGCAAACTATAAGTGATTGTGCTGAGGACTGCTGGAAATTCAACAGCAATCAACAGAGTAGGGTAACTCCATTGGCACATTATGTGTACTGAGGGCTTTTGGCTGTCCTTGTCGGTTATTGCCCTCTAGGTGTTGATGCAGAGAACTCTACATCAGCCTCTAGAGCTACTGGCTAGGATCTGTACTTGGATTTTTAAAGCTACTGGCTAGGATCTGTACTTGGGCAGTCTCAGCAATGGGGATATAAAATCATTGAGCTTAGCTGTTCCACGTGCCCACCAGTGGCGTAACTAGAACTGACAAAAAATTTTCCTGGGCCTCTTTCCAAATAAATTTAATGTGCTTAAAAAAAAAAAAAAAAAACCTCGAAAAGTTAAAAAAAAAAATTATCAAGGATTCCAGGAGCCAATGTTTTCATAATGATTTTTATCACATCTGGGTTAATGGTTAAAAAATAAAAGCACGTTCTTAGGGAACGAGTTGAAAGGTACATAACATGAAGAAAAAATAAAAAGGAAAATAATTTCCCTTGACCAACTGGTGAAATGAAAATTTGCTTTAGTCTGGGTATTTGACGTCAGATTATTTTAATTCAGTTAAAGACTTCGTGTATGAGTGCGAGAGACAGATTTTTCTCTCCTTTCACTGAGATGCATACTGATAATAAATGAATAAGTCTATATAAAAAAAGGAACATGTCAATGTATAGCATTAAGAAAGGAAGAAAGCCTAGATTTGCAGAGATTTTTATATAAAATCCGAGAAGTTTTACATACTAATGTTTTAAATTTTTATATAAAATCTGCATCTATGTAGGTTTTTTTCACTTAAGTTAGCAAACTTATAAATAATTAGTTATAATATTATAAACTGACAGACAAGATAATTGATAAATGTACAGAAAGGTTATTACATTAATGTATAGTACTCTGTGATTTACTGAGCTTACGAACATGATTTATGCAATAATATACAAGTAATAAATAAGAACTTTTATAATGTAAATGATGCATTTGTTAAATATAAAACATATTTATCATAAACTTCATAAAGAAAACTATTTTGAACGTACAATTTTTGTAGAAAATATGTATTTTAAAGTTTTTTCTGTCTTTTTAAAAAAACCTTTTGGTACACTAAACTACTTGAATACATGATTTTTATAAAAAATGCTAAAAGAATGCTAAAGTTTTTTAGTGTTTCCTTTTAGTTTTCCTCAGTCCATACTGCTCTTCTTCTCTAATTTTTTCCTCCCTCAATAAGACCGATATTTAAACCTGCTACCTTGCGGCAAAAGCAGGGATTATTGGAACCTTTCAAACTTTATAAAACCACCATACCGTACTCATACTCTAAGGGAAGATTTGCCGACCTCACCAGCAAATACCTTTATTTAAACAAACACATTTAACAAGACAAAATAAATTATTTCATTTATAATCTTTCTCTTTACAAAATAAAACAAAATACAAAGAAATTTCAAACAAAACAATTCATCTTGAATTTACTTAAATTAATATTTATAAGATAAACATCAAGTAATTTACAAAAGATTATTTGTTCACATATTATTTCTTCTATTATAACAATTATAAATTACAGTGACTGCTCAAATATAACATTTTCAAACTCAGTAATAAATTTCATAATTTCTATTATTCCTTTTTTAAATTTTTCAATTTGAAATATTTTTGCAATATCTTTTTCTCTATTCAAACATGGTAAGAATTTTAACCACTTATTTCTCAATAATTCACATAAAATTACATGTTCTACATCAGCTTCTTGTTCACCACATATAGACACTTCAAATATTTAATATGAAATCTACTATAATACGTTGGTACATGTGCATGATTTGTTAAAAAATTGGGCCAAAAACCCATTACCAATACACCTCTTTTTATTAACATTTTTAAAGAATCTATAAGTATATCTGCCTTTTTAAGTCTTTATCCCAGAAGTCCTGCCATAAATTAATTATACCTGTTCTTTAAAACATTTTTAAAAGTTTCTAAAGAAGTAGGAAGAAAAATGTCAATTGAGTTCTTCAACGTAGGCCTGTTTAGCACAAGTATCAGCATAATTCGTTTCCTTCGTGCCCAATATGACCTTTAATCCAATGCAGATTGACTTTTCTTTCCTTTAAATTTTCAATCAAAAGAACATGAGTATCGTAAACCAATTTAGTAGATGATTTACCAGAAACTATAGGCAAGTAATGCACTTTGACTATCCGAAATATAAATCAACATCGTTTTTAATATCTTTCCGTATCTTTCCCCAATATCCATTCCAAAGATTTAAAAATGGCAAAGACTTCTGCCTGAAACACTGTAGAATTATCACTTAATCTAAACTTTTTAATACATCCAATTTCACCATTTGAATACGCTACAAAAGAGCAGCCAACTTTTTCACCTATCTTTGAACCATCAGTAAAAATTTCGTGTCCTTCACGAGTAGGGAACTTCTTGTCCCAATAATAATCAGTAAGTAAGGCAGGATGAATATCATTAACTATTTTACAAATCTCAATATTTGAAAAATCCACTTGTAAATCAAAACCTTGATCAGAACTTCTGCCATGTTTTAAATGAAATAAAATACAATCTCTTTGAGCAATCAAATAGATTGGCTCACATCCACTTAAAATAAACAGACTAGCATTAGAAACTGTCCTGAAACACTTAGTGATACTTAACAAGGTTTCTCCCTCAATAAGTGTAATGATAACATTGGTGGCCAAAATTCATCATAAAGAAAAATATCCTTCTTTTAAAATTTCCGTCTCCTAACCTTCATTTCCGCAAAATTATTTATCAATACTTGGACATACATTTTCTCAGCCATCTCAGCTTCAATGCTCAATAGTGAAAGGTTTGACAACCCATCTTGCGTCATGCTGTTTCTTATATATGTTTCTTAAATATGTTTTTATTAGTTTCAGTAGTGAAAATGACCTCTCACTCATGGCTGTGGTTACAGGTAATGATAAATACAATATAAGTGAATTGCACACTCTCGAATAACTGCTTGTCATATCATAATATTTTACCATTGCTAATTTAGCTAAATCCTTAAAGGATTTCAAATTTTGGATTTCTGTTCTGAAAGTATTTATAAATAATAAAAGTTGTACTTGCAGTGCAAGTCTTCTTTATATCTTTTCTGTATATTTGAAACATTATTAATAATTTCCGTATTTGTTAACAATGGCAGTGTTTTAGATTCTTTATTTTTCAAATTTAGTTTCTATGTCCCATTTATATGCAATAAACTCAGCTTCATAATAATAATTCATAATTCAGCATAATGTCTTCAAACTTGTTTCTCATATCTTGCATATTAATAGAAATGCTTTTTAGATGTTGATGAACTCCACTCAAGTCGATTGATTTTCGATTGTCAAGCCGATTCATTGGTTGATCAATCCTGCACTATAGCGCAGGACGTGTTTAAAAGATTTTATTTTTAATTTTGGCCTGTTATGATGTTTCTTAATATATGGAAATATAGATTGTATTTGTATTTCATATTTATCATAAAAATATTTCATGTTAATATAACAATACGTTATTAATATTAGTAGACATTTGTGTTGATAATGGTGATAATTTTGGATTTTTCAGATAAATGGATTAAAAGTTTAGCTCAATTGAATTTTTAGCAAGTTTTAAATTATAAGAATTTAGTTTATGATTAATTTAGATATTACAAATCAATAACTTACCTTTATAATGAAGAATTATATTTGAGATCACTTTGAAATTTAATTTTAAAGAAAAACTTCTGTTTGTTCTTGCCATAGACTAGAGAAATGGCATTAGAATAAGAGCAAGTTTAAGTTCAGTTTACTGTTCTGAGTCATCAGCCAATTTACAAGTATACTTGAGGGGTAGCGTTTCACACTTCAATGCAGCTGTTTAACGAAGAAAGGAACCCCGCCTCCACTATAAATTTCCAGTGTCTCCCCAAGTTGAGTCACAGTAAAACTTTCATCCAAGACTTTACTGTAAAGATGTCCATTGTCCATTTCTTTTTAAAACGCTGAAACATCTTTTTTTTTTTTTTCTTTTTTTTCTCTTCAGTCAAATTGTACTATTATTATTGTCATATTCCAATGATACATAATATATCACCTGCAATATCTTTCTACATTTCCTCTGTACTATAAATACATTTCAGTTAATGTGTAATTATTAAGTATTTAACAGTAAAAATTATGAATATTCGAATATTTTTAGGAAATTCTTCACAAGTTTACGATGAAATCGTAAACAGGTAGAAACAAATTTTATTGATATGTATCCAAAGAGCTTTGAAAATGATTGTGTCATACGAAATGCAAATTTTAAAATTAATCTAAATTTAAATACCCACTGTAGCAAAATATGATGATTTCCGTCCAAGTTTCAAGGTCCCAGAAATGTTTAATAATTTAGAGTTAAGTTTATTGATACTAACGTATATTTGAAGATGAGTACTCACACTCGGTCACGTGGATTCTAAAAGTAGTACACATAAATATTTGTTTAGGAAACAAATAGAAAGTTTCTTCATAATTAGTAAAAATAAAATTGTATGAAATAAGTTTTGCGTACTTCGTAGAGAAATGCGCAAAACTTCATTTATGAAAATAGGTTTGTTGTACCCCAAGTGGATCAGAAAGCAAAAATCAATTAGGAAAAGTGGATACAT